TGCATCCCTTAGGGGAAGGTCTGGGCAGACTGTGGCTGCAAGGAGAAAGATGTGGGAGAAGGGCAGTTTCTCAGCCTTGAGTCTTTGCTGTTTTTCTGATCAAACTTTGTTTTGCGTAGGATCAAATGTGCCTGATGGTTGCAGATCTGATGGAGTTCATGCCGGTCAGCAGGGACCTGCGGCTTGCAGCCAGGACTGGGTACCGACTGCGACTGGCCTTCTCCCAGTCCCTGGGCCTTTACCTCGGTGTGTACATGCACACGCCCAAGCAAGGACAGGTACGGGGTGTCAGGACTTCCTCGCTCTGAACAGTAAAATCATGGAACGGTTTAGGTTGGAAGGGACCTTAAAGCCCCCCCAGTCCCACCCCCTGCCATAGGCAGGGACACCTTCCATAGCCCAGGTTGCTCCAAGCCTCATCCCGCCTGGCCTTGGACACTCCCAGGGATGGGGCATCCACAGCTTCTCTGGGAACCTGTCCCAGTGCCTGCCCACCCTCTGCGGGAAGAATTCCTTCCTGATGGCCCATCTCCATCTCCCTCTTTCTGTTTAAACCCGTTACCTCTTGTCCTGTCACTCCCTGCCCTTATAAAAAGTCCCCCCCAGCTTTCTTGTCAGCCCCTTCAAGTACTGGAAGGCTGCTAAATAGGTCATTCCTTCTTGGAATTGGTTCCCTAAGGCAAGAATTGGGGAGAAGTTTCATGTCTGACCCTTTAGAGAACGTTACTTTCTGAATAAACAAACGTTTTTATTCTCAAAGCATTGCAAGACACGTGTGCTCTTGCCTTGGGAGTGGAGCTCTGTGTGACTAAGCTGAGCTGTGAGTCCTAGCTCGTTTGTTCACCTCCTGTTCTGGTAGGATCCTGAAAGCACATCTGTGCCGTGGGAAAAGGAAAGGTCCAAAAGGAGCTAAAAGCATGGAAATACTGCGGGTATATGTATGTCGGGCTCCTGGGAATGTGGGCCGCATCGCTGCGTTGCCAAACGTTGACTCTACACAACTTGTGCTTCTTGCAGTGAATAATAAGGTTAGCAGGGCAGGAGCGATGGCCCAGAGCAGTCTCATCTGTTGGACAGCTTAACCTTTCCCTTCTCCAGGGAATTCGCATATGGAGTAGAAGCACGTGGCCTGGCTTCTGCTGTCCCTCTGGTGCTCTGCTTGCTCTGGTGAGAACACGCAGAGCTTGGTTTGCAGCATGTGGCCTGAGGATTCAGGGCTTTTCCACCCTTTTGGGCTAGCAGTGCCCAAAAGTGTTGTTTTTACCATTTTTCCTGTTTAGCCTTTTAAAAAGGCAACTAAAAATCCTTCAGGTTCAGGCAGAGACGAGTGTCCTTGCTGGGAAGGCTGAAGTCAGCGATGTTCGTGCTCCGCTCAGCCCTCAGGGGTCTGTTGACTGTAGCGTCAGGCAAGGAGAGGGCCTGGGGAGCCGAGCTTCCCGCAACGTGCTCGTTAATGGTTTAGCAGATGATTTACGAGGTTGTTTTTGTAGTTCTGTGTCTTCCAGCTGGTGAGCACCGAGAGCAACCGCTACAGCCTTGACCACATCTCGTCCCTGTTCTCCTCGCAGGTGAGTGCTGGGGCCCAGCTCCCCCAGACCAAGAGGAAGGGTTGCTTGCTGAGGGATCAGAGCCCTGGACTTGGGGATTTAACTGAATAAAGAATTCTTTCCAAAACGTAGTTGAATACGAGGGAATGTTTTGCTGCTGTTAACTACACACGTCTCTTCGCTGTACTTGCATCTGAGAAGGTAAACACGTGCTTTCTCTCCTAGGAGACTCTGGTTGACTTTGCCTTAACCTCGGCTGAGATCTGGGCGCTGTGGCACAACGAAGAGAACGAAACCATGGTGAAATACATCAACTTTGAGCAGTGAGTTTCTGGGCTGAGGCGCTGGAATCGGTAGCCTCGCGGGGGGAAGGGGAAACTGCGGGGGCAGCCCCACGCGCTGAAGGCACTGATTTTGCTCCTCGACTCCCCCGTCCCGTTGTGCTGACTGAAGCGCGTGGAGAGGCGGCGGTACCTAGTTTGTTGCGGTGTCACGTGCACAGCTGTGTTTTCCTGCAGCGCGTATTACATGGAATTTTTCTTGGTTTTGGGGTTCTGCTTTATAATAAAGCTACAGCTCAGCTGCAGGAATGTGAAAAATGTAAAAAGCCAGGCAGCAGGCTTGCTGGGAGTGGAGTCTGCTGTGAACGTGTCGGGGTGGGGAGGCTGTACTTCGCTGCCAGCTCCTTCTAAACCCTTCCAAGAAAAATCATGTTGTGAGGAGAGCGGTGAGCTGAAAGAATCGTTCCTAAAGCTGAGAGGGCAGGCCTGGGGCAGAACCAGCCCAGGGAGTTAAATAGTGGGTGGAAAAATGCTGTGAGTGTGCAAGTTTAGGCAGAAGAATCTACTGGTCAGTGGGAAAGTTGCTTGGTAAGCACGTGTGAGGGAGAAAACGACGCGGATGAAGGAATCCAGCCCGTTGCATTAGCGCAGGCTGGGGGGTGCTGGCGTTAAGCTCTCCGGGCTTGTCGCTAGTCAAAGCTGCTGGTCCCACATCCGAAGGGCCGCGGTAAAGCCTGCGATGGCTGGGCAACGGGACAGGGTTGGTTCGGGTGGCCGCTGCCAGTGCGCCGTGTTGGAGCGGCGCGATGCAAAGCTGATCCTGGGGTTTATTTTTCATCCAGAAACGTTGCGGGTCAGTGGAACCAGGTCTTTGTGCAGCCGCTGCCTGACGAAGAAGTGACGGTTCGACACAATCAGGACCCCAGGGTGAGCCGACTGCAAAACAACAAGGAGAAGTAACAAAGCTTCTCTGCACAGGAGGGCATCAAGGTGGCTCAAGCGGACGAGTGATCTCAATACGCGCTTAAAATCACTGCAGATGAAAGGGGACGAGCCTTAGCCCCTGTTAGCATGACGTTCTTATGGAACCGGAAGCTGAGGGAGGAGGAGAATTTTAAGTCAGTGGAGAGCCTCGAGCCAAGGCATGAATAAACGTGATCTGCATGGTCCAGGAAGCAGTTTCCATCGTCAAACGGCTGAGGGGTTGGAAGGGGAGAGGTCGGGACGGGGTGTGGGCGTGAAGTGCTGCTGCAATGAAGTACAGATCCAGGTGATGAGTTTGAGAAGGGGAGGAAGGACTGGCAGCGGTATTTGAAACGCTCTTCTCCTGGCACATGTGTCCCTACATGGCTGTCTTGTTCTCTTTGCAGGAAACCTACCTGGAGTACCTCTTCACTCCTGGCCGGTTCACAAACGCAGCTATCCAGAAGGCTTTACAGGTTAGTGAGAGGGTGTTTGGTGCGCTCTGCCTGACTCTTCCCGGCCGTTTAGATAGAATCATGGATGGTTTGGGTTGGAAGGGACGCTCCAAGCCTCATGAGCCTGGCCTTGGACACTCCCAGGGATGGGGCATCCACAGCTTCTCTGGGCAACCTGTCCCAGTGCTCCCACCCTCTCCGTGAAGAACTTCTTCCTGATATCTAATCTAAACCTCCCCGCTTTCAATTTGTACCTGTTACCCCTTGTCCTGTCACTACAGTCCCTTGTAAAAAGTCCCCTTCCAGCACCCTTGTAGCCCCTTCAGGTACTGGAAGGCTGCAATTAGGTTTCCTTGGCGCCTTCCGTTCTCCAGGCAATAAGGTCTCCCCGGAGCTTCCCTTCTCCAGGCTGAACACCCCAACTCTCCCAGCCTGTCCCCGTGGCAGAGGTGCTCCAGCCCTCTGGTCATCTTCGTGGCCTCCTCAGCCGTAGCCCGCTGAATGGAAACTCTTGGCCCACTGTCATGCCGTTTCTTAGGGCAGAGCAAGGCAACACGCAGTGCCTTTTTTGGGTAAAAAGGGAAAATCCGCTACTCTGTTTTGGTTCTTTGTGCTGTGACCTTATGGAGGTGCTGAGCAAGGAACAAGAGAGCTGCTGGGAAGGTGTGCAGCACTTTCCTTACATCCCAACACACTGCTTGCTAGGAGGCTTGCCCCATTTCCAGGGGAAGAGGGAAGCTGGCTGTACATCCACATACCCCACAATCAGCGCTTTTTAATACCTTCACCCCGCAAAGCGCTGGATGATGCCGTCGTGTTGGCTTTACGCCTCTGGAACCTCAGGGAGATGCCTCTTTTCCTTGAAAGTGAAACTTTGCTGTGTTGCCTTTCAGGTCTTTTCCCAAGGAACTGAGAAGTACATGGACCTGACGTGGGACGAGTTAAAAAAAGAGGTTACCTTGGCGGTGGAGAGCGAGGTGAGATTTTCCCTCCCACCATGTTTTGGATGGTTCAGCGAAGCTAAGTAAGACACAAAGTGACCCCAGGCCTTGTTTTGTCCTTTGTCTCTCCAAAGGAGTTGTGTTATTTTTATTAAGAGTACAAATGTCCATCCTCCCCACCTGGCTTTTCCATTCTCTCTCTCCTTTTTTGGAGTCCTTTCTCCTTTCCTGGTGCCTGGGTGCTGGATGCCACCACGCAGAGCTGTTGCTCGTGATTTTGGACACCGGAAGATAACCTGCTTGGGCAACCTAGCTGAAAGATCAACCCTAATGGCTGTCCTTTTGGGGCTGAATTTCCCCACGTTTGATCCTACTTCTCCAGATTTTTACGCTGACATGCCCGATTCTCTGAGCCAGCGTTCCTTCCAGCAGCGGTTCGTCCTTGAGGCTGCTGAGACTTGCTAGAATGTTCACAAAAAAGGTGGTTTTGCATCCTCTATAGCAATAGTTATGCTTATTTTGAAACAATCTGCAGTGCTGCCCTTTTTCTTGATCTCGTTGGTGCTCCTTTCTCCAAGGTTGTGGAGGAATGGTTCTTGTGGGCTTTGTTCCCCTTGATTTTTGCTGTGTGATTCACTGTTCTAGGGGGGAAAAAACCATATTTTGGGGGCAAGGTGGTGGGGAAGAGAATCGTAACCAGTGTTTATAAATCCGTAACTGTATAAAGGTGACACATGGGTCTTGAGGGACAAAACCACTGTGCAAACCCTTTCTCTCTCTGCCGTTCACTACCTGTGTGCTCACTATCTGAGGTCCTGTTTTGGTCCTGCTAGTTCCAGGGCAGCTTGGCGGAATACGAGTGCTCGCTGGAGGAGTTTTGGCAACTCCAGGTGGAATTTTGGTCCAAGTTTTACGCCTGCTGCCTTCAGTACCAAGAAGCGCTTTCGCGGCCGCTGGCCCTGCACCTCAATCCCTACACCAGCATGGTGTGCCTGCTCAAGAAGGTGAGCCTGGGCAGCGCAGGCTCGTTGCCTGCTGCCCAACTGGAGTGATGATCTCCAGGGAGGAGTTTTTCTGACTGAATGGGTGGATTTGGGGAGCTCAAAGAAGGGTTTTTCTCACCTTTCTAGGGCTCCCTGTCTTTCCTCGTGCCCTGCTCCTTGGTGGACCATCTCTATCTCCTCTCTAATGAGCATCTCCTGACTGAGGATGACGCTGCTGCCTTTGATGGTAAGTGAGGAGACGTGGAGCTCTTTGGAGGCTGGAATGCTGCACAGCAGGGAAGCTGTAGGCAGTGGGATGCAGGAGTTTCCATAGAGGCCTCTTGAAGTGCTCCTTAATGACCCACACGGAGAGAGTTTTCTTAGTTTGGCATCCGTAGGGAGTGAAACCTCCCGTCATGCTCACACTAGGGATTAGAAAATGGCATCAAGGCTGTCGTGACTCAGTTCACACACCTTAAAAAGGAAGAATCTTAGATTGCAGGCTGTGTGACAAGGACCTGCATCCACAGATCCTTTCCCCTCGTAGCCTTAGAAACTCTCGCAGGTTAACTGGTGCCCTCCTCGTGCCCGCTCTCTGGGACAGGCCTGCCAGTGGCGCTCTGTAGTGTGCTGGCAGGTCCCTGGTCCTGGAGGGGAGAACGGGATGCAGCAGCATGTGTTTCTGAGCACGTGGGTGACCCCCCCAGCATGAACCCCGCTTAATGTGACCTCAGCTGGGTGCTTGCTCAGCTTCGCCACCCCCACCGAGAGCCGCGAGGCCTCCCCTTGACTCTGCAGGTGGTTCTCTTGCATAAAATCCCCTGCTCTGTGTCCTGCTGATGGAGTAAACTCCTTTCCAAGATCACAGCCGTGGAGGAAACTTGTGATCCTTTCACCATCTCAACAGCCTGGTTCTGCAAACTTCATTTTTAGTGGCATGTTCTTGTATAAATGTTTTCATATAAGCTGTGAGGAGGGACTCTGCTGCTTCCCGTCTCCGGGAGGTGAATGCCAGCGCGTGCAAAACCCGTCCTTCATTGTCACCACGGTGCCCTCTGTGCTTTGCTGGCCAGGAAATGACGTTCCACGAGAAAAAAGCAATGGAAAATGTTACCTAAGCTCCACTTTCGTGCTCGAGTGATTATTTTTTAAAATGTTTTTATAACCAAGAATCATCAGCCGTTTGGTTGAGCTATTTCTGGCTCCAGTGGAAGGAAAACTGGAGGGCTGGGTTTGGGAGGCTAGCCGTTCCTGCCCTGTCTGTTCCAAACTTCCCAAAATACATGATTTAATTTTAAAAACATACATATAAAGGATCAGTGCTTCAAACCTTCAGTACTGGCTTTTCAGATCGCTTCTGAGGGGGAAAACCCGCTCTCGGCAGTGAGAGGCAGGGGTCTAAGGAGTGCGTTCCGCTCGGCAGAGCGAAGCTAGCCAAGCCCCTCGCTCTGGGGTTTTATTTGCTCTTAATGCTGCACTAATTACTTCCTTTCAACCTCTGGCTGGAGAATATTCCTCGGAGGGAATTTCATTGATTGTTGCCTCTGTATTTTGGGTTTTTTTTCCACTTGCCCAAATCTTTCCCTTGTCGACTCCTAAGGTTGAATTCGGTCTCGTGGCTAACAGGGAAGGGTCAGTGTGATGTGCGGGACTGAGCCTGCTGCTGTGATAGGACCTGAACTTACTGGTTTTTTAATGGTTCCCGCCTTCCCTTTGAAATCTCTTGTAAATATACAGTTAGATTCTTTCATTGCAGATTTGGAGATCTCTCGTGATGTTGTCTGTCTTGTCCAGTGCCTTCGACTGATTGGAGACTCAGTTTCCATGGAAATGGCATTCATAATGGAAATGGCTTGCTCCCGTCTCCAGCCTCCAGAAAAGGCTGCAGAGCAGATCCTGGAGGACTTGATAGCTAGCGACACGTAAGGAGATGTTTTTGCACCTTCCTGGCAGGGATGGCTGAGCAGGCATTGCCTGGAGCTCTCCTTGACGGGCATCAAAGCCCGTTCGGGATGTGTGGGCTCTCCCAGTGCTGCAGGAGACTTTTCCAAGGTCCTCTCAGATTGGGACCATGGGTTTTGGTGATGTTAGCTGGGTCCTCCGTTCAGAACCTCCATCTGGTGTTGCCTGGGGCCATCCTGAAAAGACATTTTGGGGATTCTCAGGTGGGAAAGAGAGCAGAAGAGGAACGAAATCCTACTAGGTGATCCTTGCAGCGCAGAAAGTGCCTGTAGATGTTTGGCAGAGGTCAGAGCCTTGGTCAAGCCATGCAGTTACTATGCTAACCTCCTGAAATCCTTCCCCCCTGTGGAATGCCAGCCATCTGACTGCTATTTCCTGGTAGCCTGGGGGAGTGGATTAAATAGACTGGTCCCTGCAGGCACTGTAATAAAACTCCAAGTTGGAAGAGGATTCCCATCAAGAATGTCCAGGCTGATCCCATACTCTCCCTTCCAGGGAGGATCAGGAAGGGAGGAAAGAGAGCCCTCTTGAGTTTAAACCTCAAGTTACTGATTATTATTATCTTTTCTTTGCAGGGAAAACGTGATGGAAGAAATACAGAGCAAACTGCAGGAGGTCAGAAACCCCATCCATGCCATTGGAGTGCTCATCCGCGAAATGGACTACGAGACGGATGCTGACATGGAGAGAGGTGAAGGCTCTTCCAGCAGCGCGTTTGGGCTGGCAGAGCGGCAGATGGGCGGGTGTTCTCGTTGGTCTGGTTCCTCTCCTTATCTCCCGGGATTTTTGTCTTTCAGCTCATCACCTGAATGTGCGCATGAACCTCGCCCAGCTGTACAGCAGTGGTACCGCTGTCAGCGTGGTTTGCTGCGGGGTAGGTAAGATTGCCACCATCCGTTTCCTGATCTGTCGGGACCTGTTGATCCTCCAACAGCTGTTGCTGCGGCTCGGAGATCCTGTGAGTACAGCCCTTGGAGCTACTGCTACGCTCTTTGAACTTCGGGATCTGGGGTTCTGCTGATGCCAGACTGAGCTCTGTCTCTTCCCACAAAACACTGGAGGCTGTTTGAACCAGCCCGAGGCTCGGGCGAGCCCTGTTCTCTCCTCCAGCTGCTTTTGTCATCCTAAGCAAAGCAGCGGAGCGCTGTGCTCACACCCCAACTCCCTCTTTCCATGCTGAGCATCCAGGAAGCAGAACTCTCTTTGCGGGTGGAGGGCATCATTTCCAGCCTCCCCGTGCTGCCCAAGCACGTACGGTTCTCCCCTCAGCTCCCCATCCCTCCCAAGCCGCTGCGCAGCCCAGCACGCGCACGGGTGCAGCCTTGTTCTCCGTCAGCGTGGCGTGCGGCAGCGTTTACCCGGGGACTCCGGTTTCAGCTGCTGCGGGGTGGCTCCAGCCAGTGTCACCAGCCGTGATGGCAGCTGGGTTTGTGGCCGTGGGCTGGGTCCATCCTGTTGGCCCTGTGGCTGCGTGAAGAATGGGGCTGATGGTTTGGGTGGATGCAGGGGTGTGGGACAAGTCCTCAGCAAGCAGAACGTTGTTTGAACCGATATTATTTACTTGAAAACGCTACTGCAGTAGCTTCTTAGTTGAAAAGAAATCCCTTTCTCCTGGATAAGGTTGCCCTAGGAGCGTTTAAAGGACGTTGCAAGGTGCCCTTCAGGTGCCAGGCTCTCACGAGGCATGTGACCTGATGCTTGCTTGACGACAACGGCTGCTTTGCCACCTTGACGTGCTTGTGCCCTTCACAAGTGTGAACTGCTTTTGTTCCCGTGTCGCCCAGCCGTGCTGCTCTTGCCTGGAGCACACAGGGATGCAATTCCCAGGCAGCAGGACTGGGCCCTGAGGTGATCTTTGTGGCGAAGCTGTGATTTCACTCTCGGTGGCACCGTTGCAGCAGCACAAAGCACCTTTTTGCCGGTGTCCCGGCAGGTTGCCGCTGTTTGCAGGCTAGAGAAGCACTCGGTGTGCACAGAGCTTTGCTTGCTAAGCTTTTCCCATGGGGTCTGGGCCACTGGAATAGTTAACTCGCCCTTCCTTGGTGCTGAGGTGACGCTGTAATTTGTGACTGGGTTATTCTGGCACGTGCAAGAGTCTTGTTGGTCTCCTGGGTGGGTTGAGTTAACTGCCGGGCTGTTGCCCACCATGGTGTTTGTAGGATGGATACAAACCTCACTGCTTGCCCTTGTCCTGCCATTGCTTTCTGGGCTTGGCCTCTCAGTGTGCCAACCTCTGTGCTTTGCTTGCAGATGGTTTTTGAAGGGGGACAGCTCTTACAGTCTCAGCAGGACCTGCTGCACCGCACCTCTCCCCTGCTGCTGTCCTACTACGTGATCAGGTGGGCGAGCCAATGCCTGGCCTCAGACGTCCCCGTCGACACGCTGTAAGTCTCCACCGCGCTCGTTCCATCTTTGATTGCAGGTTCACATGAAATGCTCTTCCTGGCATGAAAAGCTGGTGGTTGCTGTGGGAGTATCGCTCTCGGAGTCAGGTTGTGCCGGGGAGGGTTGTGGTTTTGTTTCCTTCCATGGTTTGAGCTGACATTCTGCTGTGTGAGGTCTCGCTGTTCTGTGCGCTGCTGCCTTTTGCAGCCGTAGGAGTTGTTCGAGTTGAACAATGAGCACAATTAAAGCGGGAGGCGTTTTGTTGTCTCCTCGCCAACGGCTTTTTCTTCTCTAGGGAATCGAACCTGCAGCATCTCTCTGTGTTGGAGTTAGCAGACACCACTGTTCTAACGCCCCATAAACTAGGTAAGACGCCTGCGGTTCATCGGCGCTCGGGTTCTGGTATTTACCCCTCGGCTCTGCGTCTCTGCCGCCCGAGGGAAACGCTTCGCGCAGTGAGCGAACGCGGCGCGTGGTTGAGTGAGGTGTTTGTCGTGACATCCACCAAAAAATAACAACAAAACCAGTGTATCTGGTCGCTTCGGGCTCAGACTGGTGATGTGGATCATCTTCTCGGTCTGAGGAGGATGGGAAGGCCTTGCTCAGCCGAACGTTATTAATTCTGGTCCTGGCAGCCAAGCTCACCTCTTGCTCCTGTCTGTGACAGTGGCTGTAGCAGGTCAGATCAGGTCTGTCTGCTCTCTGGCCTTTATCCCACGGTGAGCAGGAGCTCAGGGAAGCGAGTATGTAGAAATATTTCCCCAAAACATGCTTCCAACACTTTGCAGTTTTTACGCCAGCGCTGCTCACAGCCAGGACCTGGAGGGGAAAGTGGCAGCTGATGACTTGTTCGCATTTAGAAGTCCTGCTACGCATGTTTTGGGTTGCTGCCCTGGGGGAGGAATCCTAGTGGGGGAGAATATAAGGCAACTTAATTAGGAGGATGCGTTCCTTGAAGTGGTTAGGAGAGTGAGCGGCGTAGGGGAGGAAATGTGCAGGTAGGGGCCTGCTCTAACTTGTCTGTGTGGCGCTTCGAGGCTGAGACGCTTCGGAGGGAGCTGAGAAAATCAGTGACAAGCAGCAGTGCCACACGTAATGGGCTGTGGGAAGAATTTCCTCCTCTTGCTGATGAGCCTGGGGTGTCCGTGCTCTTCGTAAGCAGGCGGCGATCTTCCCGGAACGAGAGTCTCGGCCCAGGGGGCGGTTGCCTCGCCGTAAATGTCGGCGCGTGAAAGCGATATTGAAAACAGCCTTTGCGCGCCCGTGTCGTGTGTTATTTCTTGGCCCACTCGTGAGAAAAGTCCCGTTTGGCCACTGCTTCAGGGGAAAAAATATGTGAGACGCAGGGAAGACGGCAGGGAGGCGGCAGCTTGGGGAGAGGTCTGAGCTGCGGGGCGATTGGGCTGCTTAGGGTGCTGGAGCGAGCGGGGAGGCATTTGGACAGAGCCACGTGAGCCCAATCCGCACTCCCTCAGCCCTGCGGAACACTCGTGCTGGAAACTGCAGCTGGAGAGAGAGCACGGCCCTTTGTTTAGTGTTATAATTGAGTTGTGGTTAACGAACCTCGCGGTACGTGGCTCTTTGATCTCCTGCTCCTCTCTCTGACTTAACCAGACGGCGGGAGAAACGCAAACCCGACAAGCTGGAGTATTGACCGTGCTCGCTGCTTTGCCCCGAGTTCATCTGTGCTGTTTGGGCCGACAGGCAGAGCGCCGTGTAGAAATCCTGGGATATCTGCCGCCGGCTCTCTTCTCAGTATTCCCTTAACTTGTATTTCCAGTATCCAGCCCTCAGACGATCGTGGAGCTGTTTTTCCATGAAGTGGCCAGAAGGCACATCATATCTCGACTCTTCTTGCAACCGAATGCCTCTTTGGCCGAAACGAGTTTGAACTGGCCCCAGCTCGTGACTGCAATAGTGGCGGATTTTCTGCCGCTCCTGTATCCTTGGCTGTAAACCCGCTGTGAGGGGCTCACGTAACCCAGGGGGGAGTTTCCATATGATGCAGCAGAGCCGGAGCGTGCTCCCCCTTGCCGTGAGATCGCACGGAGGCAGCGTGTTGTGTCCCGGTGCTGAGGCCGGGAGCGTTGGGTCTGTGGGAGGAGGGTTGGGGCTAGCAGAGGGGTAGGGCGGTGGGCTCAGAGTGCTCGAGGGTCATAACTTGGCCATCTCTGCTGCTGAATTCCAAACTAAGCCCTTGTGCAGTTCCAAAAATCAATGTTTTCCACACCCAAATTTCCTAGACGAGTCTCCTGAACAAGTGACTGTTGTTGGTGTTAATGGGATTTGGGGGTGTGTTTTAAGATTTCACAGAATCCGTCCTGTTTGGGTGCACAATAAAGGATTTGAGGGTGGTTTTTTACTCTAAGCCCCTGAGCTTTAGCAACTCTTGGCCAGGTGCGATGCGGGGAGATTTGAAGGGTAACAAGATTTGGGCAGTTGTGGATTAGATGTACTAATGGTTTTGTTCTAATATGGATAAATCTTCTTACAGAAGAATGACTTGTAGAAAGAGCAGCTTAATCTTCTCTCCCCCCACAAACTGAAGGCGAGAGGCATGCTGACTTCCATGGCTCTCTGGCCGGGATTGTCCCCTGTTCCTTAACGACTTCCATAGCTCTCCGGGCTCTCCGGCCGGGATTGTCCCCTGTTCCTTAACCTCCTGTGCTCAGATGGCCCAGCAATCCCGGGTTCCTCCTCCCCGAGTGCCTGATGGGGAGCTGTCAGTACATCCAGCTGCAGGTGAGTGCTTCGCGCCAGCTCTCGCGGGAGCCAAGGGTAAGAGCAG